CTTTGCTCTCCTTGTGTCTACAAATATACACTATGAAGCTATCATGGGCCAGAAATTTTATTGTAGATGCAAAGATGAAAGGACACTGACTCTGTGGCTAGGGGGTATCATTCATTCACACAGTCATTTATTCAACAGATGTCCATTGAACCTCTAAAACACAGTGGATATTTCAGGCATGGAGAGATACAAACAAAAATGTGTAGTGTGGTATCTAAGACACTCTCACAAGAGGTACAGACAAGTGAAAACAGAAGCAGAGAGTACACAGTATCTCAGGAGGTGGTCAGAGAGGCCAGTTAAAAAAAATGATAGTGGAGCTGCACCTGAGCAAGTGCAGATGTGCCCCAGGAGAAAGTCCAGTAGAGATCAAGGAGGATGGAAGAGATACTCATTTTAAAAATCTCAGCAGCCTGAGGGGGTCTGATGCACTCTGGGATCACATGTGGTTCAGTGTAGTTGACACATGGCAGCATTCTGACATGTAAACAAGCTTCATGTATGATGGCAGCATTCTGACATGTAAACAGGCTTCTGCTCCAGAGCTTCATTGTTGCCACACTTGAACTTTGCAGAAGATCACTGTTGCTCTTGCTTAGCTAGAAGACATGTAGCCTGTGTCCCATTCTCATTTCACATAAGAATGAAGAAGTCAATGACACCAGAGTTGACTGAACTGAAACCTGAGGGGGGCTGTGACAGACTGTCGAACACCATGGACGTGGACAGCAGGAGAGCCAGCACTTTACTAACTTCCTTGTTCAGGGCATTCGTTTGGAGAGTGAACTGAATTTTTTTTTTATTTAGAGAAGTGAATCAGTAAGTTCCTTTTTCTCTCAAGCTCTGTCCTTGCAAATCATGTTTGGATCCCCTGTCATGGCTCTGACATCCTGGGAGGAGTTGCTTAGATTTGTGCTGAGTGACTCAGTCTGTTCCTGAGCTGTGACCTGCACTGTGACCTCTCTTGTAAAGAGCAGGACATGCAGACACAGGAGGGAGAGAACATCAGCCCTTACAGTGTATGGCTGATTACGTAGCTAGTCCTTAGTGGCTTCTGTTTGATAAGGGCTTTCCTCTTTCTCTCTGAGACAACTCAAATGCAGGGAAAGGAAGAGAAGAGTTCAATATCTACCGGGGAATGTGCTTTATTAAGTGTTTTTGCGAGACAGGAATGCAATGACTGATACTGCTGGTGTTCACTAACACCCTTCTCTCTTCCCTCTATGGAGATGGAAGGGGAAGAGGGTGCATGATTTAAAGGTACTTCTCAGCTTTCCACAGTATTATACTTGTGGCAATGTAGCCAAGATCTTTCAAAAAAAAAAATGAGAGTGAATAAGATGTGCCACGTCCAAGCCAGTGAGCCTCATCCCTAATTGTTTCCCTTTCCACAAGTGAGGGATGCCGCTGACAGCAAGGCCCTGGAGGGTGGTAGAGCCACAGCACAGGAGGACCCTGGAACCCTGCATCACCACATGGAAGGAAGTACCTGTCCTAACCTATCACATAAATAAGGATCAAGCATCTCTCCCGTTAAGCCATTGAAAATGAGAATCTATTTGAATAACCTGTGAAGTAAATAGCATTGTCCCTACTGTATACTTGAAGAAACTAAGAATCAGCGTGTTTAGAACACTTGATGCTTCATAAAATTATTCTGTAATAGGAATATAAAAGTTTCTAAAAACTCAATCATTAGGGAAGGAATTCACAGGAAAGAGGCGCTGGAACAAGGATCCTGAGAAATCAGACCAGGAAGTATATTTTTTGTGTGTCAACTCTGTGTTCTTCAAAGTCACCATTCCCCCATCACCTCCCAGCTTCTCAAAATTGGCAGGAAGGAGATTTTATAATTCTAAGAAATCCAAAGCTATGCTGAACTTGCTCATTATTTCCACCCAATTTCTCCTGTTGCCCATTTCATGAAGCTTTTTTCTTCTTTTTTTTGTATTGATTTATTTGTACTTATATGAAAGGCAGAGAGGGAGAGATAGTGAGATCAACAGACATCTTCCCTCTGCTGACCCACTCCCCAGTATCCCACAATAGTCAGGAATTCAACGAGCCCTCACCTGAGGTCTCCCAAGGTGCACATTGGCAAGAGCAACAGGGCAGGGATTCAAACCCAGGTACTCCAATAATGGGATGCAGGTATCCACGTAGTATCTTAACCATTGTGCCAAACACCGAACTTGGCTGCATTCTTCTTAAGTGAAGAAAGGCAAAGTTATGTGGCTGGCCTCATGGTGCAGTGGGTGTCTTCAACACCAGCCTCCTCGCTGCTCCACTTCCAATCCAGCTCCCTGCTAATGCAGCTGGGCAAGCAGTGGGAGATGGCTCAAGTGCTTTGGTGCCTATCACCCACGGAGGAGAACTGGGTGGAGTTACTTGCTCCCTGCTTTGGCCTGGTACAGGCCTGGTCATTGCAGCCATTTGAGGAGTGAGCCAACAGATGAAGATCTCTCTCTTTCTGTGTCTCTCCCTCTCTCTCTGTAACTCTGCTTTCAAATAAATGAATAAATCTTTTGAAAGGGCAGAGTTGTTTAAACTGGATGTTATTAACAGTACTGAAACATGATAGAGCATAAATTTACATGGTAATTTCTTGAAGTATAGGTGATTTTATCCTTTTATATAAAACAGTTTCTATAATAAGCACACCTTTTTTATGTAAACTGGGAATTGTATTACTACAATGTGATTTATTGAATAATGAATATATACAGAAATGTGAAAACTGGTGGTACAATATGGGAATTTTGACTTTTTGTGTGATCATCACTGTTTCTGGAATAAACATCCTCAAATATTACCTGTTTCTCTTAGCCCTAAGAGTCCACAGCTGGGCTTCATTGACATGCTTGATTTTTTTTTTGTCTTCATTTATTTTAGCTACCATATGATAAGAATATATGTTAAAAATGGAAGAAAGACAATTACATGACAGCAATTTTCTCTTATAAAAAATAATAATCACAAAAAAACTGTAAAAACCAAACCCAGAACAAACCAAATCAGAGCAAAACATAGAAGACATTTAGTGATGGTGAAAAGAATTATTCAAATTTGTCTACAAAATAATCACATCTCCCTTTTTCCCCCAGTAAAAATTATTATTTATTAATCCTCCTGAAAGGAGTCAAAATGAGACAGTTGCTGTCAGCGTTCATTAACACATCAAGTTGAGAATGCTCTCAACCCAAGAGCCACAGTGCAAGCTCAAGCGGAGGTTCTCTGCCTGGTGACGATTGCCCACGACTCTCTCCCTGCTGGTGAGGACGCTCCCTGCACTACAGCCACCCAGGGTTGCCATGGCTGCCATGACAAACATGCTCTCCTTTCCAGCATACAGTAAATGCATTTTCACAAATTATGAAAGTGACCTGAAGACAGTATTTGTAATTGCTCTGAAGACATGCGCTAGTTCCCTGTTTCTGAATTATTCTTTAAACTGGGAAGGGTGGGGGGTAACAGATGCATACATATGTGTATTTGGCAAGCTGAAGATGATAAGTCAGGCAGAGCGTCTCTAACTGTGGCTGAATTCTCAATGGTTATTAACTAAAAACATTCGCATAAATCCTGCAGCTTAAATTTAAATGCATCTGATGGAAATTTAAATGTAAAGTGCAAATAATCTCATCTCACATTTTTATGGCTTGTGGAATTTTTCAATAGTTTCTCAAACACAGGATTCCAAATGATTCTGAATGTGTTTTCACTTATTTCTAGCATTCCTTAAGCCTCATCCACCACATGCTACACTATTTCATTTGTAGGGCAGAGGTAGAATGAGGAGATGTGGGGCCAGAAGTCAGGAGACCTAATTCAAGACCCAGTTCTGCTCTCAGGGTTTGATTAGACGAGAGGCTTTCAGATGAGCTCAATAATACAGCCAGGATGGTCGAGTAGCTTTCTCTGGATTGTACAGCTAGTAAGTGGCAACGCAGGGGACTGAAACCCAGGAAACCTGAATCCAGTGTCCATACTAACCTTTGCCAAAGGGCCTCACAACAGCACTGAATCGCTCTCAACCTGTACTTCCCTCTTCTTCACATCAGCAATTTTTAGTTGAAATAATTCATCCTTAATATTGTTTTCAGTAGCCTATTGGGTTTCATGGCAATCAGCAGTAGTACTTATTTTTAATTTACATTTGCTTGAGAACAAATCAGTATGAAAGGACCAACTAGCAAATCCAGGTTATACAGCTGGAGACTATCCTCCAGCCCAGTTCTGATTTCTAGCCTCTGTCCATGGGTTAAACAGGAACCAAAGTCTTGAGGAACCAGGAAGATATTCAAGAGAATTCTAAATAAGATCTGCATAAGATAAGACCTCAGGCCGTAACTCTCAGCCAATCCCTTGCTCAGTCTCCTATTCCTTGCTTATTGCCCACCTTAAATTCCCAACTTCACATGGAAGAGTAGATTCCAAACATCCCTCCCCTTTCCCCAAAAAAGGATAAAAAACACAGAAATCTCTCCCTCTTGATGGTAATTTTCACTTCCAGTGCAGAAATGGACATGACAATTGTTTGGTGTCACATACTGGAAATGGGCATAAGACAAATTAAATATGGGTCTCTAATCGAGATACCTCACCACCATTATTATTAGAAAGGGAGCCTAAGGACTGGCATTATGGTGCAGTGGGTTAGGACGCTGCCTGCAATGCTAGCATCCCAAATGGGCACCTGTTCGTGTCCCAGATGTTCCAATCCAGCTTTCTGCTAAGGTGCCTGAGAAAGCAGCAGAAGATGGCTCAGGTGATTGGCCCCTGACACCCATGTGAGGGACTGGATGAAGCTCCTGCCCCTGGTTTTGTCCCGGCCCTGCCCTGGTGGTTGTGGCCACTGGGGAGTGAACCAGTACATTGACAATCTCTCTCTGTCTCTCCCCTCTCTGTAACTCTTTCAAATAAATGAATTTTGGAAACTCATGACTGGTGCAT